GCTGAAACCAAAACCCAAGAGTGAATCCATGCTCATTATGCAAGCATGCAAAAATTAACTAGCAAGGGAGTGATACATGATATCTCCTTAGTTCCATCGCCATGGAGGTCAAGACAGATGGAATATTTCTATGGAGTCCAAATTCCCATGGCCAAAGGTTTAGAGAGAATGTCAAATTATGTTATGAACAATGCAATGCCCGTCATGGACAAAAGAAACTATGGATTATCAATCACTTCAAAAGCACCAACCAAGGCATACCAAGTACAATTGGAAGATCGTCCATCTACATTAGTCAACCGCTCAACTACCTATGCAGAGATTTGCGCAAGCCTATGCCTCGCGCTTAATGGGGAATTAGAAAATTTTTGGGGTTTTAAGAATTCAAAAACATAGGAAGTCTTTCACCAACACAACTAGCCATTAGGAAGGCATTACGATCATTGTTGATGCGACTATGCGAGCATTAGGCCATGCAACTAGGATGCAAAAAGAGCTATGAATATGTGAAATCTCCCCTACGGACTAAGTGAGGGTGCATCCAACTTGCTTCCTCATGAAGACCTTTAGCATTTGAGGAAGCTTGTCAACGGAATAAAACATGCAGCTTATGAAACTTTCTAATCTACAATGCATGAAGTGGTGCTACTCTGAAGCACAAGTTTATACTAAAAAGTGAAATGATGTTGCTCCTTCTCTCATCATCACCCTTTTTTGTAGCACCTCTGTGGTGCATCTCTTATTTGGTCTCTCTCTTTTTGGTAGAAGCAACACCTTACAATGATGATGAACACACTTTTCTACAAACACACTTAAACTAAATGTAATCATAACTCAATATCAAAACATGAGAGAAAGTCGGTATGAATGACTCGGGTTGTGTACCAGGATATGCAATGATTCAGTGTAGCATAAACATCAAAAAATGGACAAGCCATAAAAATATCATGCTAGCCATACTATGGTCATGCAAGGCAAATCAAAATAAATAATATGTCTCTAGTCATATGTAATATGATGGTAGTGCAAGGCGATATACTCGGAATGGCTATAAAAATGCCATGATAGCTACGTATGGTGGTTGTTTTGAGGAGATGTAGCGTTTATGTGTAGGAGAACAAGAGAAAGTCCTCCCATAGGTTTGGATGTACCAGAGAAGTATGCGCCAGGTCTCAATGTGAGAATGGGCAATGCTCGGTACCGAAGAGGCCAGCAATAAAATATGAACATAAATGCAAAGTCTTCAAACTCATTTTAGTCATAAAGAAGGCAAACACTACACAAGAGCATCACCGTATCATGTTGCATAAGAATCAAAATCTAAGCACTCTGAGGGGGTAGATTGGCGGGGGATACCGTTGGACATCCCGGATCAACCAAAGTTGTTTGGTTCATCAGCAAAACTCTCTACAACATTCGATCGCTAATCAGGCCACAACTATACTCCCCAACTTATGTAATTAGGTGAGCGAAAGGCAAGAATTTAAGCGACTCTTGTATTATTTTTGATAAAAAGAACATGGCAATGTCTTTCAGAAAATAATCAGATTTCCTCGCGCTAAATAAAATGAATGCAAAGAAGCATGTCAAAACAAGGGACACACGGTTGCACAAGAACTTTATGATAAAGAGCATTACACGAAACACTATATGCAAAAGTAACTTCCCCACGCTTAAAACTTTGCAATGACAAACTAGGGAAAATTATGAAAGTAAAAAAGAAAATAATGTTATCAAAAGAGAGTGTGTGACGTGGTTACCTCCCCAAGCTTAAAATTAAGCAAGAGTTATATACTTTTACCGTTGGGCCGCATATGACCTCTCCTTTAGTAAACATGGACCTTGCTTCAATGGATCTCCAAGTTGTGGTCCGGTGGCTGCCCCCGATCTAACCTACTGGAAAGACTAAAAACAAGGTACTTGTATGCTTTTTATGTTTTGGGGGCTTTTCATTTTTTTAATAGCACAAAGGATTAGTGTCACAAGTAAGTTCATTAACCTAAGCACCATGCATAAATCGATAAACTAAGTCTAGGAGTAATATGTACCCCTAGATTTGGATGAAGTATGTGCGAGACAAGATAACAGACATGAGTGTGCAGCTCCTAAGTGCCTAATGAAAACAGAGATCCTCACTTAAAGTGAGAAACTCGATACTAAGCAACTTCTATGAAATGAGGTTCGTATTGAAAAACATTATCGGGTGCTTGTGGTTGAAGTTCGTCAAATTGAAGCAATAGAGCGGCTTGTGCGGATATTTTATACAGTTGGCACCATAATGTACATGACAGCACATAAGGTCTAAGCCCATGCGAAAATAACACACGGAGAAAATCACCGACTCGATATATGAATGTAGTTCCTATATCCAATCAAGAAAAATAAATAAACGAAAACATATTTGCTACAGAGAATTACTACCTCCGTATCAAAATATAAGAAGTTTTGGTAGGTCATTTTAGCCTACCAAATATCTTATATTTGATACGAAGGGATTAATTTTGAAGGAGGTACGAGGCAATTGATGCAAATTAGAAAGCAAATGATCGGTTAGAAAATACATTAGCAACCTGAGATGTGGAAAACAATTCAATTTGAGGTATTTATTTCCTCGTATGAGCACGCTTGGTTGCACAGTCTGCTGTAGTTTGCTCTCAAAGTTCAGTCCTGAGTGCCACCTTTGGTACGACTGGCGGTACAAGTGTGAGCGCTCATACCATTCGCCATCTTGGAAAATCTTGACTTTTTGTTAGTGCGTTTTGACGTCAGGTACGAGCACGAGCTAATACGGGGCTAGTTTTTATCATGCCGGGTATCCAGCTACAACATGAGAAGTTCCTAATTTCGATTTTCTCCTATTTATGAGAAATATAGTATGAATGCATACGCTAATAACATGCTCACACACTCATGCCTATGAACTCACGCACTCACACCCTACTGTGAGCACCTACGAGAAGTTGAGCCGACACGTGTTGAGATTGACAAAATCACCACAACCACCTTGTAATCAACAAGTTTGTCATAGCACTGAAGGAGTAGCACTGTAAAGACCAAAATAACTTCAAAAAACATGCAATCACCCGTGATAAAAAATTAGACCCGAGCGGACTGGTTTCATCACAAGTAACCTGACCATCTAAGATATGCTTAGTTCGCTTATTAATCCTAGTTTTGTCGATGACATAGGTAGGGATTCTGCATCACTTTATAAAGGTTTTATTTTGCATCATCAATGTTTGCCGGACCTTTGGGCCTCATCCCCAAATTGAAACTTCGGAAGTATGTGGTCTGTTGCCCCGGTAGAGATGCCTAGAATCTGAATGGTAGTGGTTGTGCTCAACAATGGTGCAGCTGTAAGTCTATAATACCTTCTGGTTCAAAATGATTTTGTATTACCTTCATTAATTGTAGCTCATAGAATCAAGCACAACTGGATTTGATTGTCTAAACAAAACTGGACATTTCAATCACATACTAAGTAGCTAATTGCTCGTGCATTGCAATGAAGCCACACATATTCCAGCGGTTCAATACCAACCGTATCCGAAATATACCATACACCCACAATATTCTACATTATGTAAGATTTGGTTTGCTTTGAGTATGAGCAGTTGAAAGAAATATTTTATAAGATTTGAGTGTATTTGAGTATGAGTAGGTGAATGCAGGAAAGTTTCGATTTAGTTTAGGTTTTGGTAATATTTGATTTGATTTCAATATGGGTAGGGCAACGCATGGAATGTTTTTATTTAGCTGAGCTTTTGGTAAGATTTCATTTAATTTAGGTACAGGCAAGGGAACAAAAAGTGAATTTTGATTTAGTTGAGGTTTTGACAAGATTTTATTTTGTTTGATTGAGTTACTACATGACATGGGAGGGATGGCATACATGACGAAAAAATCAAATGAGGAAGGGGCGGGGGTGGAGGCGAACATACAACATACAACTCCCCTTTAATAGTTGAGATATGCAAGTCAGGGAATTTCCCACTTCCGAAAAGAACGGAGAATCCTCCTTTGGCTAGAGTTGTATTAGATCATGTAGAGTGGTTGATTAGACAATTTTATCTTAAGTGTGCTACATAATCTCGAGAAGACAATAAACAGTTATGTACAGTGTATGATCTGTTAGTCTTATCTCAGGTAAGAAAATATGTGGTGAGAGAAATTGTGTTAAGACAACATCCTTTAATTAAGAGAAGAAAAGTTTTTTTTATGATTTCTCTCTTCCCCTCAACATTTACCCTACATGACAATTCTAAAATAAGTCATTGTACAATCCCATACTCGAAATAACATGCACAAATGGGGGACTTCAAAAGATTGCATCCTTGAAGAAATACATGGTGCAAATAGTAATGTGATTTAGAATTTCTGTTCCCGCTTATATAAAGAAGGTTCAGATCAGCCACCGAGCTGCAAGCAGATATTTAACTTCTTTTATTCGTGAGGTCGAGGGATTAACTAACACAACTGAATCATATTATATTTTATATAGACACAATTTTACGATATTGGAGGAAGGTTTTCTATCGTAGCTTATCACACACAACTAGTTAAGATTTTGTGAGATTTCTACGGTGTAAAAGTTTTCAAAAATCATGGAAAAGTACTGGAATAACACCCATAATATAAGATGATCTTTGTGAGATTTCGAGTTTGAGATTGTACAATGATTTATGCGTTATATTTCACCCGCATTTTTGCACATGTGGTCAATTTTTCACCTTATATAGATTTATTGTTTCTATCATAGCTAACCTGGAAAAGATTGACCACACATGCAATAGTGCATGTGAAAAATATTACGATGTTCATATTTCATAAATATTTTACATCTTGCTCAAATATAAAACAACCAATTGCGGCAATAATTTGCATGGCATATTGTCTAATTTGTAAAGGTTGAACGAAAGCGTGAACCACTGAAACTTGGTCTCGGTTCCATGATAAATATGCTCCTTGACATCTTTTTATCTGTGTCTTCTTTTGTCTAGGGTCCAGCACGCGCGTTGATGGCCGATTTATCAGGTATATAACGAGCATCACCTTGCTTGGTTCGGTCATCCAGCTTATGTTCTTCCCACATTTCTAAGAAAAACTTATGCGATCGATCACCAACATGTTTTTTTGCGGAAAAATGTTTGGATTTGACGAGTGCATACCCGCTTCACGCGCAGCCTTCCTCTGGTGGCCACTCCTGTTCCCGCGTTCAACAGCTCCCTTCTCGCGCCCAGGTGCCCCTCCTTGACTCCATGGATTATCCTCCTCCCTCGACGTCGGCCACTCCCGAGCGCTACGCCGATTGGATGCGAGCCCCTCTTTGCCCGCCTGCCCCGTGTAGGCACTCTGCGACGACATGGTCACAATCCCCTGAGTCGCTCCAGTGAACGCCCCCGCTACCGCCCTCGTTCCGAGATCCGTCTCGCCAGTGGAGGAGCCTATGGTTGACTTGTGCAACCGCCAACCATGAAGGCGGCGCCATCGCCTCCATGCCTCAGCTCGCCCCCTCCTCCGAGCATGTCTCCTGATGCGAGAAGCTGCTCTAAGTGCCTCTACTCTGGCCACCCCCGCTCGGAGTGCCTTCAAGATTGGCG